CGCGTGTAGTACTGTGTGTGTAGTATCGCGTGTAGTACTGTGTGTGTAGTATCGCGTGTAGTACTGTGTGTAGTACTGTGTGTATTATTGTGTGTAGTACTGTGTGTGTAGTACTGTGTGTATTACTGTGTGTAGTACTCTGTGTAGTACTGTGTGTAGTACTCTGTGTAGTACTGTGTGTAGTACTGTGTGTGTTCCAGCCAGATGGAGGGGGTCAGTGAGGACGATCTGTGCTGGCTGCAGCTCGATGACTTCAGGCTGCTGCTCATCAGAAACATCGACCCATCCAGGATCACTCCTTACCTCCGTCAGTGTCAGGTACTCCTCCTCCTCCTCCTCCTCCTTCTTCTCCTCCTCCTCCTCCTCCTCCTCCTCCCTGTCAGGTGCTGAGTGTTTGTGTCGTGTCAGGTGATCAGCGCTGAGGATGAGGAGCAGCTCTTCAACGACCCGACGCTCGTCCTCAAGAGGAGAAAAGTTGGTAAGTTGTGACCGGCTGCAGACTGAGACGAACAGAACCGGTCCTTCTGGATCCAGATCCAAATGAACCACATGTGATCCCAGGTTCTGACCTTTCAGAGTAGGGCTCTCCAAATGACGGAGCGCGGGTCACATCCAGACTCAAATAAAGTTTTTTGTCTGGACCCAGTCCGGTTGATCAACTGGAACAGAACTTTTACTTCAGCAACTTTTTATGATTTACGGTGATTAATTGTAGTTTGTGCGTGTTTTGCAGCCTTTACGGTAATTTCCAGGAAACTACAGTTTTTTACTCAAACCCTTTGATGAGTTTTCATTTTTCTTTTTGTTGAGAGTAAAAACCCGTTTGTCTCATATTTTCACAAACAGGAACAATTATTAAAATCTGCAGCATTTCTGAAAAAAAATCACCTCAAATTAATTAAATTACCCGAACAACTCAAATCTGAACTGAGAGCAGAGAAAACACAGAAATAAAAACGGTAATTCAAAAAACCTGCTATAAAACATATTGAAATATATTTCAGAAAATATTTGTATCAGTTGTAAATTGATTTTTTTACTAAAAGGCAGAATTTTTTATTTTTATTAAATTTATTCATTTTAAAATACAACACAAAAAAACAATAATACAAACTAAGTTTATATAATATATAAATAAAATGAAGGGTAGCAGAAGGAAGAAAAAAATCTTATTTTATCTGCCCCCTCTTACAATAATTCAAATCAAACAACATTCATCTGTAAGTACCTAATTAATAAATAAATTAATAAAATTGAAATAATTTAATTTTAGCAATTATAGTTAAATAGATATAACTATATGTTTATAAATAACATATAGATTTTATATAAATAGACAGAGAAAAATATCTATATAAATGTATGGAGATATGTGTTTTTAATTTTCAGGCCACAGTTTTAGTGTTTCCACCAACAACATGTTGGTTTATAGAAAACATGATCGGGTGGATCAGTGATCGGGTGGATCAGTGATCGGGTGGATCAGTGATCGGGTGGATCAGTGATCGGGTGGATCAGTGATCAGGTGGATTGATCCACCTGAGCATGCTCAGTAGCTGCAGTGTTCACCTACTGTTACATAATAAAGTCACACATGTGAAAGTTTAATTTAACATATAATCCCATGTAAAACATACTTTGTGGTTTTGTATTCTGAATGATTGTGTAACTTTTGTGTGTCATGTGGAAGTTGCCTAAACATAAATTACCAGAGTGATGTAACACCGTCGCTGCTTCCTGTTTCTATAATGTGTGGAAGTTGGAGTGTCGGAGGGTGGGGGGCGTGTGTGTGTGTGTGTGTGTGTGCATGGTGTGTGGGGGGGGGGGGGGGGTGTCATCTTTTTGTGACTAAAGTCCAGTTACATCTGCAACAATTGCACATTTATTTTTGAGTAATCCCCATCTTGTAAACTGGGAAAGAAAGAAAAAATCTAAAAAATGTGGATTCTCACATTTGATGTAATTTCAGCCTCGGCACCGTCGGCACCTAACGGTACGTTCCCGTAGCAACAAGGACCTTGTTGGGCTCATTACACAACAAGAAACTAAACAATGTTGTGAAGAATATTTAATCTCAGCTGTTTGTCATTTCTGAGGAAGAGTTGCTGGTTTAAAACCTTCCTTTGGCTGACCACAGCCTCACCTGGATGAAGACGGCTCTGCTCTCCTCGTTCTGTCCTTGTTGACCCAATGTCTCACCTGATCACATAATCACTGTTCATATTAAACAGAACATCGCCAGAAATCACCAGACTGTTCTCTACCTGCGTTTCTGTAATTTTCTGAGAAGCCCACGGGTCCCATGAGGGGTCCAGAGTCGTGTCCAGGAACTCGTCAGGTGTGGTGAGCTCAGGTTCTGGTGTCACGTGTTGTCTGATCCTCAGGAGCACTGCTGGACACCCTGCAGAGGACAGGATTGAAAGGTTACACAGCCTTCCTGGAGAGCCTGGAGCTCGACTATCCTCAGCTGTACACCCAGATCACCGGGAAGGAGCCCAACAAGACCTTCAGCATCCTCATCGGTCAGTCCGTCTGTCAGACGGGACTCCTGATCCGGACCCACCGCCGACAGCTGACCGCTGTGTGTTGTGTGTTCAGACACAGGAGGGGAATCCGCCCTGACTCAGTTCTTGATGACGGAGCTCAGCCGTCTGCAGAGGGCGCTGCAGGATGAGAGGCGGCGCCGCCAGCAGGCGTGCTCCGTCGCCAAGGAGCAGGTTGGCATGACAACCAGGTGACAACAGTCTGGGATGAGGCCAACAGAAAGTTCTTCACTTTGATGTGTTCCGTGTTTCTGTCGGTTCTTCAGGAGGCGTTGTCTCGCCAACAGCAGCTGAAGGACCGCGAGCTGAAGAAGCTGACGGAGCGTGTGCAGAAGATCCGGGAGGAGCGGGAGCAGCTGAAGGAGGAGGTGAAGCAGCTCAGAGATCACAACTACAGCCTGATGTCCGACATCAACACTCTGAACCAGGAGAAGAGCAACACCTTGTTGGCCAACAGAGACCTGCAGATAGAGGTCAGCTGACCCCAACCTTTACAGACAAGAACCACAATCTGACCTCTGACCCCAACCTTTACAGACAGGAACCTCAATCTGACCTCTGACCCCAACCTTTACAGACAAAAACCTC